ACTCTCCCAGTGAGGCCTCCTCCCAAGTTGGTTTGTTCCTTAGATTTTCTGCTTCAGCCCTTGGGTGTTTTTTTGCGTTCTCTTTTATATCCTTTTAGTTGCAAATTCCTTATAAGTAGTGAATAATTTTATATTGTGTAGTCCCTGTTTACATTGCTATGTGGTTTGTGTCTCCTAAGTGGGTCTGATTGATATACTAATAGAAGTAAAATTGAACTTGTACATATGTAATATGTGTGACCAGCTATTGTGTGTGTGTGTGTGTGTGTGTGTGTGTGTGTGTGAGAGAGAGAGAGAGAGAGAGAGAGAGAGAGAGAGAGAGAGAAAGAGAGACTTGCACATGTGTGGCAAGTACAAATACAACAGTATTCACAGCAATGTTGTTTAGCACAATCTAACACAGAGCAAATCCAACAGGAGACAGCTTGGCTGTGCGATGGGAGAGAAGGCGAAAAGTCAAAGGTATCTCCAAGGTTTCTCACGTGAACAACTGGAAGATATGAGTTGCCATCTCTTGAGATAGGCAAGCCTGGCAGTTGAAGACAGTATCAGAAACTGGTTTTAGATGTGTTATGAGGCATCCAAATGGAGGTGTCAAGCAGGCAGTTGGATATGCAAGTCTGGAGGACTAGCCCGGGTTGTGCATTTGGGGGAGTCCTCAGCATACAGAGTCCCCACAGTCAAGAGGTTGGGTAATATCACAGACAAGTGTGACATGGGGGCACTTCTTGGATGACTGCTGCAGTCTCCCTCCCCTGCCGCAGACGGCACGCCCACCCTCTATCTCCGCCTCAGCATCCAGTGACCTTGTGAAAGCAGGATTCAGATGCTGGGACTTCACGGCCTCAGCCTCTCCAATGGCTTCCTGCTGCTTCTGGACGGAAGCCCCACTCCTCCGCAGAGGCTCTGGCTGCCGCCCCCCCCCCCCCCCCCCCCCCCCCCCCCCCCCCCCCCCCCCCCCCCCCGCCCCCGCCCTACTGCGCTTCTCTCCTGTGCTCTGCACACCGGCCGGGACTCATGGGCCTCTCCCATTTCCCTGCATCTGCACTAGCTGCCCGGCCTGCGGGAGGGGCACCCTCATCTCTCCCGGTTCCTTGTTTTCATTCAAATTTCAGCTCCAAGGGCCCCTCTACCGCATTCCTTCCCGAACACTCTCTCTAGGTCAGTGGTCGGCAAACCGAGGCTCACGAGCCACATGCGGCTCTTTGGCCCCTTGAGTGTGGCTCTTCCACAAAATACCATGTGCGGGCGCACACGTACAGTGCGATTGAAACTTCGTGGCCCATGCGCAGAAGTCAGTTTTCGGAAAGGAGATAGACGAAACAAGTATACAAGACGAGTGTGGATGGGAGAGTTGGAAGGGGTCGACCTCAGCGAACGTACCTCAATCAGATGGAGGACGTTTTTAGCAAAGGCCAGCTTAGGAGGACCCTAATTAAGTTAATAACAATGTACCTACCTATGTAGTTTAAGTTTAAAAAATTTGGCTCTCAAAAGAAATTTCAATCGTTGTACTGTTGATATTTGGCTCTGTTGACTAATGAGTTTGCCGACCACTGGTCTAGGGTATTTGATCACGAGTCACCCTAACGGGACACTCAGAAGCACCTTGCTATGGCACTGATACCTGCCGGCATGTTAGCTCTCTGCATGTCATCTGTCTCCCCTCCGAGGCTCTCAGCTCCCCAGGCAGTGGCCCAGGCTTGCTCTCCATTGTGTGTCCCCAACGCCATGGACTGCTACGCCACCTGGGAGGCAGTCACACATATTTGCTGAATAAACGTCTTACAGGATATTGCATTCTTTTTAGCTTCCAAATCAGGGGGAGAACCTTGAGCTGCCATTTTCATTTCGTCCACGCTTTATCTTTCTTTACATCCTTTCACTCCTTCACCAGCTCCCCCATGGTCACAAACGCCCAACAGTGCTCTAAAGATATTAGAAAGAATACTTTATCACAAAGCCTGTGAATCGGAGGATTGTGTAAAGAAGTTACTCTAATCGAAAGGTCCGCGCACAGCGGAACTCACACGGTGACTCCAGTAGGTGCCTGACCCGCCTCCCCAGCAGCTGCGCCCCAGGAGGCCCAGCGGGTCGGGTCGGGTCTGCGAGGCCTGGAGCCCTGAGCTGTGGTGCCGTCATGGGGGAGGCCCTGGAGCACGTCTTCATTCCCGTAGGGCTGCTGGTGTGCCTGGTCTACCTGGTAAAGTGGGCGAGATTCTCCAGATGTATTTTCCTGCACTTCTGGAAAGTTCTGCCAAAGTCTTTCCTGAAGTCAATGGGCCAGTGGGCAGGTAAAGAAAGCGATCCAGTCTTGGGTTTTGTTGTTCCTGCTTATTATTGTTTGTGTCTCAAAAGGCATTCTGCATCTTTTTCCTTTGAGCAAAGATGGACTTCCTTTGGGTGATTTTAAGTTGGGTGAGGACGGGGGGTGTCTAGAAAGCATGAGTAGAATTAGAATTGTTGGGCAAACAAGACGGGGTCTGGGAGATTAGCTGGAGTGGACTGTGCCCACCACCCATGTGCGTGTCCGCGGACCCCACCAGCTGCACTGTCTTCTTTGGGGAGTTTCTGATGATTCAGATATAAATGCTGCAGATGCTCCACATCCTCCTCTCCCGATTTCCAGAAGCCCAGAGAGCCTCCGTTTTGTTACAGGGTGTTTCAAAAGACTGAAATCCAAATAATTTTAATTCACTTTATTGAAAACATTTTTCTCCGAGCCCTTTTGGGAAGCGAGGGTATTACAAAATGCAGGCAACAAAGATCTCTGTGGAGACACCTTTTGAAGATAGAATCTGGGTCTGGTGTGTCCCAGGCAGGTTAACTGCTGCCTCCTAATGGGACTTATTCCTGGGACTGCTGGAATCTAGCCCCTGTCTGGGTGTAAGGTAAAGAAAGCAGGAGGCGGTGGTTTCACGTTACATTTCCAAGTTGGGCACCAAGACATCCAATGGCCTAGGAAAAAAATTTAAGCAGCTTTAGAAATACCATGCCAAGCCAAATAGGAGAAATCATAAGCCGCTTCATAGGGCTGCCAGATAAATACAGGATTCTCAGTTAAATTTGAATTTCAGATAAACAAGGAGTAATTTTGTAGTGTATGACACCCCAAATGCTGTGTGGGACATATTTATACTAAAAACTATTCGTTGTTTACCTGGAAATCAAACGTAACTGGGCATCTCGCCTCCTTATTTGCTAAAGTGGCACTCTTACATCTTCAGCAATGGAAACGGAAAAATTACGATATAGAAATTGTTAGGAGTGGAAAATGGTTTTGAACTGGGGCATGTTCCATTTGCAGTACGTGTGAATGCTCCCTCGCTTGGGGGCTGCACGCTGGGTCCCTGAACTTGCTGGGTGCTCGACCTTGAGGGTCCGGACCCACATGCTCTGCTCTTACAGATGCAAATGCCCATGCGTGAGGGTGCTGTGAACTCTGCAAGTGCTGCCCATCAGTGCTGGGCAAAGCCCTCTAAGGACACTCGTTGCGAAAACAGTTCACATGGGGCTAGAGACTCAGCATTTGTCACTCAAAAAACATAATCTTAACCTGTCTTTTGAATCAGTCCTGAATAGTGTTATAATTAGCAGGAGTAAAATGTCCGTGGGCATAGGCAGATATTGGGAGATAATACAGGTCAAATGGGGGGCGGGGAGACAAGAAGAAGATCCAATTACTAGAGACTGAAATGTCAACTCCTCGGGGCCCTGTTGTTGGTTGGCTAATCATGTCAATGGTGCATCTTAATAGACTTGTGGCCGCAAAGTCAGCCAGCCTGTGTTCAAATCCATCATCATCACTGAGCAGCACGACCTTGACCAAGTTAAGAATGTCCTCTCTCTTGGCTTCTGATCTAGGAATTAAGAATAATGATGGTCCCTACTTTAGGGCTTGTTTTGAATATTGAGATGATGCATCTGTAACACTTGAAGCAGTGCCTGGCAGAAAGGAAGCTCTCGATAGATGCCAGCCATTTATTGATGCCATTATCTTAACTATAGCACCGGCCTCGTCCTGGGTGATTTCTGATACCCCCGTCAGAGAGGGGAAGTGGTGACAATAACCCTGAGCGTGGTACTTCTAGTAAGAGGGGCAGGTAACACCCTGGATTCGCTCAGAGGTGCCTAATTACACAGATGACGCCATTAGCAGTTACTAAGCCCGGTGCCCCTGCCAGGGTGCTGCTGGGAGCGTGCACAGCTTGGCCTGCCCTCACCTACGAGTGCTGGGTGCGGAGGATGAGAAGGCCCATCTGCTTGTTCTATACGAATCAACAGGCCACTGAGCACTGACTCTGCAGGGCCCTCGTTTTATTTCAGCCTCTTCTTGCATTTCTGTGTTTTCCTCTTTGTTAAGTTCCCTGCCTTCCATGGACATTGATTGCCGCTGGTCTGTGGGGGAGGAGAAGGGAAGGGGGAGGAGAACTGGACTTTTAGGAGGAACCTTGAAATGTCCCACAGTGACAGCTGGCTGTGTGGGTAGAGAGACAGCAGGTGCACTGCTTGCCCTTGATGCGTTAAGGCTTGGAGATGTCTGAACCCTTATGGGGCCTGAAGGAACCGTGCCCCGCCTGGGGTGCTTTGTTTCATGTTGGAGTGTGTTTTCATGGCCTCACCAATCCCTCAAAAGGAATAAAAAAAGTTTCATTGTGAACGTTTAGTGAGGGAAGTTGAGTGCTGCTTTGGAATATTTAAAAATATATATTTTTATTGATTTCAGAGAGGGAGAGAGAGAGAGATAGAAACATCAATGATGAGAGAGAATCATTGACTGGCTGCCTCCTGCAGCCCACAGCCAGGGCATGTGCCCTTGACTGGAATCGAACCCGGGACCCCTCAGTCCACAGGGCGACACACTATCCACTGAGCAAACCGGCTAGGGGTGCTTTGGAATATTGTGTCCTAGGGAGGCGGCCTGCAAGAACACATGGCCAGCTAGATAGAGGACTTTAAAGGTTAATTCTTTCCTTTGAAACCATTTCTGCTTTTTGCAGTGATCACTGGAGCAGGAGACGGGATTGGGAAAGCGTATTCGTTTGAGGTGAGTTGTGTTCTTGGCCTTCTCTGCCTCTTGTATTGAGCACGTTATAAAGCAACAGACATTCATTATGAAGGGACATATTTTCTGTAAAAAAGGAAATTTGAAAGTCATAATCTCACTCCCTGGATACCTTTAAAAAATGCAATGATATTCAAAGGTGGCAGTATCTCCCCTTAGGAGTTGTTTTACAAATACAGGGGCATTGTTATTTTCTAGTGGAATTGTACCACAAGCATCATATACTTAAGCACAATTTCAAAAAAGTATAAACTACTTTTCTTTTATGTATCCTTTACATTATGCTTAGGGCATATATTGATTTAAAACATTAGTTGTGTAGACACAACATATTATCTATGACTTTAATTCCACGAAGATCAAGGGGCATTACAACTATTATATAAAGAGAGGATCTGATAGGGCCGAGTCGCTGCAATATTAGTGTCTTTCAGTATTTCGCTCCAGGCTTCTTGTTGCTCTGCAGATAGATCCATAGATAGATTGATTGATCGATAGACAGATACCTAGGGAATAGATGGGTGCCTTTAAAAATACTTTTATAGCATATACAGGCTTACATGCTATTATTACTGTATTGTTACAAATTCCCTTAATAAAGTATTGTTTCCTGGAATTCCTATGTATTTTATTTCTTACTAGTGTCATTATACTGAACAATGTGAAATACAAAAGAAGAAATACTAGTGGAATCTTAGGAATTATGAGGACGACTGTTAAAAAATCAGTGACACCTTAAAGATAGAATCAAACGCGTTTGCGTCGTGAAAACTACATCCAACAGCAGTGCAGCACCCAGGTGTTTTCTTGCCCCGAGGCCTTCATCATGGCAGATGCCAAACCACCTGTGTGAGAGGACAGTGCAAGGTGCATGGCAGGCACTTGACAGAAACTGTTGGGACTTGAACAAACCTAAACTATTCCAGTCATTCATTTTTCAGTTCTAAAATTTCCATTTTGTTCTTTTCTCATATCTTCTATTTATTTGCTCAACCTTTGTATTTTCCATGGGTTTTAATTGTGTTCATCCTTGCTCATTAAGGCATTTTTATGATGGCTGCTTTAAAATCCTAGTCATATATTTCCAACATCTGTGCCACTTCAATGCTGGCATATGTTGATTATTTTTATTTCACTCAGATCGAGATCTTCCTGGTTCTTGGTGCGATGAGTGACTTTTGATCGAATTTTGGACATTTCTGATTTTATGTTAGAGGCTCTGGGTGGTATTAAATCTCCTGTTTCAGGTCTATGCCAGTATTGCTGCGGCAGGGGTGGGGCCGACTTGTGCCCACGGGTGAGGGGAGGCCAGGTCTCCCCCTTGGCCTTCATTGGCACACGCTGCTGCCTCGTTCCTATGGGCTGGGGTCGGGGTGACCCCATTAGGTCAGTCTGGATGGGAGAGGCAAGAGTGCCCCCTCACTGCTCCCAGGAAGCCTCCAGGGGCACTTGGGGAAGGGGCCTCCTTAGCATGGGGTTGGGGTGGGGGGTGATGGTGCAAGCCCCGCCCTCTCTGCCTTCCCTGCTATCTCCCAGGAGAAGGGAGGGAGGGAGAGGGAGCCTTGGCACTGCGAGTGGTGGTAGAAGTTCAGGTTCTGCTGATGTTGGGGTGGGGCGGGGGCGGGAGGGGGGGCTGTGATGAAAGTCCCTGCTCCCTCCTTGGCTCCTCTGATGCCGGCCTGGCTGGGGGGTGGCCACTGTTGCCGCAGCCATACTGCTCCGTGGGTATGATGGGGCAGAGGCCATGTGCTCAGAAAAGTGCCTTCTTCCCGAGCCCAGGCCCCTGCTGGCCATGCCCAGGATTTAACAAGACCCGACTTGCGCCTGGCCAATCGGCAGGGCCCACAGCCAGCTCCCCTCCCTTCACTATTCTCATGGGTGGCACTCGGTTTCCGGTCTCTGCGGCAACTGGAGGCCCGGGTCGGGTTAGCTAACTCAATAAAGGACCTTCTGCTTTTGCATCGGACTGACTCCCTTCCATGGTTTCTTGGGGATCTTGAATTCTGGGCATAACAGGTAAGGGCGCTGACAGATGGCGAGGTTTGGCTGTGGTGACAGAGAGACCCAGTGACAGTCCTGGTTTTCCTGATGAGCAGGTGGCTGTGCTCAGGTTCCTTCTGTCTCGTCTTGTGGCCTTTGCTCTGGTCTTCAAAGCTAGAGCGGGGCCATGAGCATGCCTGTGTCCTGAGAGCCCGCAGACAGAACTCAGTCCTGTGGCCAAGCCGGGCAAGAAAGGCCAGGCGTCACTCGCCACCTGCCCGTGAAGACATGGCAGGTGTTAGCGCCCCCTAGCGGTCTCCGCCAGCGTGCACACCTGCACGTTTAGTTCTTACTCATGTCAGTGCTAATGGAGTCCTGCTTTACACAACCTGCTCTCAGCTTTGCTTTATCCCTTTACTAATCCAGGGTGGAGCTCTTGCCTCAGCAAAGCCATACAGACACCTGCGTCCTTGTTAATGACCTTGTGCCTCTTCATCCCAGGGTGTGCCTTGTCACTTTTATCAGCTTCTTAGGGATGGACACTGAGGTTCTTCATTTTCGTTTTTACAAATAATGTTTAAGATCCACCTTTGAACATGTACACACTCACATATACATCCCTATCGGTAAGAGAGCTGGCTCATGGGTATGTGCACTTAAATATTGGGTACCATTGCCAAATTGTTCTCTACATGGCAGAACCAATTTTAATCCATTCCACATTACTATACATTTTAATATTTATGTAAAGTATGCATTTAATATAACTTAAAATATTGTACATTTTACTTTTTGTCACTCTGATGTATGTAAGTAAACCTGTACTCTGGGCTGTTAATGTCCAGAGAATGCTAGAAGCAAAATGCATGACTAAGACTGTCTGTTTTTATGCCTCCACATCTGGGCAGCTCTAGTGCCTCCCCCAACATCTGGGGTGGCATGGATGCCGGCACTGCTCCAGCCCCAGGGTGGCAGACAAGAGCAGTCAGACTTCTTCTCAAGGCAGCTCTCCTGGAAGCCAAGGGAACGGCACAGAGCTGGGCCTTGGAGGAAATTCACTTCCCAGCTCTGCTTCAGACCAGCCAGGAAAAACAACTGCCGCCCCTGCTCTTGACTGTCAGCACACACTTACTTGGCACATATGATGGAGCCTTACGCCGTCTCAGCAAGGAATTTCTTCTTCCGAACGTTTACATTGCTCGAGTCTAAATTATTCCCGCTGCACTCTCAGCTCATTCTCTCTCATCTTGCCTTAATTGAAAACTGTAGCTTTTAATTATTTTTATGTTCCCCTGGATTCATTGCTTTGTTCCTGGGTGGCTTGCCTTCAACCCATTAATTTTGTTTCAGGTTTTGAGTACCTTAGGTTCATTGTACTATGCCATGACGTGTGTGTGTGTGTGTGTGTGTGTGTGTGTGTGTGTGTGTGTGTGTAATGCATAGGCTTGATTACGAAAGATAATAAAATGAGTACTGTGTCCCTTATCACCCAGCTTAAGAAATAGAACACCAGCCCTAGCCAGTATGACTCAATGGATAGAGTATTGGCCTGTGGACTGAAGGGTCCCAGGTTCAATTCTGGTCAAGGGCACATGCCCAGGTTGCAAATCGATCCCCAGTAGGGGGTGTGTAGGAGGTGGCCGATCAATGATTCTCTCTCATCATTGATGTTTCCATCTCTCTCTTCCTCTCCCTTCCTCTCTGAAATCAATAATAATGTATTTAAAAAATGAAATAGAACATCACTCTCATCCTTGAGACATTCCATAGTCACAACATGCCTTTGTGTCCCTCCCTTACCTCCACTCATGTAAGCACAGATCATGATCATTGTGTTAAAATGTCCTTACTTAGAGCGTTTTATTACATATGCACGTGACCCTAACAATGTGTTGGTTGCACCACTTGTTTTGATTTCCATGCAAACTGATTCAGATGTCTTCTGCAACTTGCTTTTGATGGATCAATAGCATGCCTTTGAAATGCATCCAGGCTGATGTGTGTAGAACACGGTTCACTCATTTTCATAATTATGTAGTATTCCATTATGTAAATATGTCCCGGTTTAGCTACCCTTACCTCTGTTGAAGATCTTTTCTGCCGTCTCTGCTTTGCTGCCACAAATGCATTGTCTGTGTCTCCTAAGGGCTCCTCGAGAACGTGCCCAGGAGCAGAATTGCGGGCTCAGAACTTAGGCAGAGGCAGCATTGCTCGGTAACGTTGCCTCCAGCCAGGTTCCAAAGTTTCCGCGTTGAGGTGATAGCAGCCTCATGAACCGAATAGGGAAATGTTATCTCTTTTATCCTTTTGGAATTATTGGGTTTTTTATTTGAATGTTTGATAGAGTTTATCTGTAAAACCACCTGTGGCTGGAGTTTTCTTTGTGGGACAATTTAAACTATTTACTTATATCATTATCAGCATCACTTCTTATTTATATGAATATATCATATTGATTATTGCTATTATTTTTAGTGACTATATGACTATTGGGTTTTTAATTTTTCTTGAATAAGTCTTGGACTTATATTTTTCAAGAAATACATTTATGACACCTAAGGTTTCAAATGTGTTGGCACATACTTTTTTTTTGAAAACATTCTCTTACCATGTTTAGAAAACTTTAGCACGAAACACATTTATCAACGGTTACCACCTAGTTCACAAAATCACTGGGAAGGGGCGGCAGCTATATCTGAAATGAGCAGAAATACCGAGAGGCTGGGTGGTGGGGGACACAGCGGAGCCGCCCCTCCCAGGAAATTCACATTCCTCCTCCATTTTCTCTCTTCTTTCGGGAACTCTAGTTATTCAGATGTCGGGTAATATTATTTCTGGAACTTCTATTATTCATCCCCTATTAGCTTTTTTCCTCCTCATAATTTCTATTTCTTTGGCTCTTTGCTTTCCTGTCTACAGAAGGATTTCATTAATTTTATTCTTCAGCTTTTCTACTAAATTTTTCATTTTTTGTTCTATTGATTTTTAAATTTCACATTTCT